ATATCAGTATCTTGGGATATATCATACAGTATCTTAGGATATCATACAACATCTTAGGATATCATACAGTATCTTAGGATATCATAGGATTATTTATGTTGGTTTGACCATATAATACTATTTATGTAACGGTACACAAACCTCGAATTCATTTTACATTTGATTGTGAACCTGTAAACATGTCTTATCCTTGCGAGGTCTGTGGAAGATTGTTTTCAACACCTGGTAACCGTTCACGTCACAAAAAACAGATGCATAGCACCAGTACAGATGAACGATGGTTAACTGTAATCGGCAATAGGTCCAGTGTTATGCAGCATCCTTTCACATGCATCGTAGCTGGGTGTACACAAAGCGGCAAAACCGTATGGGGGAAATCTCTTTTGGAGAATGCTCAAACGACTATAAGTCCTGCTCCTCAACGTATCATTTGGTGTTATGGTCAGTGGCAACCCTCCTATTTTGATATGATGAGAACGATGCCTGGAATCGAGTTTAATCAAGGCATCCCCGAAGACATCGACAACGCAGATTACTTGGACGTATCTCAACGGAATTTGATCGTATTGGACGACCTTATGGCTCAATCTGGCAAAGATAAACGTATTTCTGATCTTTTTACGAAAGGAAGCCATCATCGAAATTTGTCCATCATCTATATTGTCCAAAATATATTTCATCAGGGCAAAGAAATGAGAAATATCAGCCTTAATGCTCATTATATCGTGTTGTTCAAGTGACCAAGAGATAAAAAGCAAATTTCTATGCTTGCAAGGCAAATAAATCCTGGGAAAGTACAAGAGTTTATGAAGAGTTATGAAGATGCTACGAGCCGACCTCATGGGTATTTGATGTTGGATTTAAAGCCGACAACGAGTGACCAAGATCGACTCAAGACAAACCTACTTCCAGGCGAGATTACAAAGTTTTTACACAAACAGTCGTATCGTCAACCACCACTTGCAAACGCAATGTATGATGCCGAACAGAGAATGAAAGAAATCATGGAAGCGCCACAACTTTCTGTGGTGGAAAAAAGCAAGCTTTACTTTGATCAACTAAATCGGTTTCTCGCATTCAAAAATAAGATGGATGTCCCGGCTCAAGCTCCTGTTCAGGGAACTTCACTAATGCCTGCAGAGATACCACCACCAGTGCATGCTACGCCTGTACTTTTTTCACAATTGGGTACATTCTGCTGATTGGAAAGAAACTGACTTGGCTATGATGAAACCAAAGGAAAGAGAGCGATATGAACGTTTTCTACTAAAAGAAAGACCAAAATATATTCCAATGAAGGATGAAGATGTTGCAAGATTATCCCCAGAAGATGAAAAGAGACAAGAATATGAAAACTCTTTAAAAATAACAAAAACAGCTTCACGTTACGCTCTTAGAAGTAGACCGTACTAAATTTTGTAAAACGTTTTGAAGAAATGAATGTATTTAAAAACTAAAATATTGTGTAAATTCCTACCGGCAAAGCCCGCTCTTTCCGCCCGCGCGACCCGCCCGCCTGATAAGTGTACACATATTTTGTACGTTAATATATGCATACACCCAAGCATCGCTAATGACTTAGCGACACATAACAACGCAACGTTTCTAAAGTTTTGAAGCATGTTTTATTGATACAAATAACAGATGATAGTATCAAAAAATACTACAACTGTTCTAATTCTAACTTCTATTCTTGATAAACTTTCTTGTGATCATCTTAAAGTGCTACTGCAGCGAATTTTTGGACCTAGTTTTTTTTAGCTTAAATAAAAATTCAGTCTTTTAAGCATTTTCATATATATTTGACCATCATGCGATGCTTAGAAGTTGCCAAATTTAACCTCTGAAGTTGGTTATCGCGTGCGAACTTTTCCGTCGCCATATTGATGCCGTGTGACGTCATAAGATGAACGGAAACGAAGATATGAAGGTCGTATTTGTAGTAAATTATATGGCGCGTCAACATATTGCAGTGGAATTTTTGTCTATTTCACTTGTTTATGGCGCAGATAACTGACTTTTAAAAATCGAAGAACAAGTGCTATATCTTATTGTTTATTTGACGGCGGAATGACGGTTAGAGATGCAGATAATAGGGTCAGTACTGCATCTGGAAGTCAACGAGTATGGACTCGGCTAAGTCGGCTTTGAAATACGATGATGAACCAGTTGCCTAACAGCTTTTATACAGCTTCACTAGACGAAGTGATAGAGAAATTATATAACGCCGCTGCAGATAGGCAACCACCATCTGTGACTGTGTTGGAGCAATCAAGCGATGGTACAATACCTGTAAAATTAATGGTAAGTAGATCCTTTTTATTGCATGTATATATATATTGCATTGTGCTCGCCTCGGTATTGTGTCTGAACACATCTGGTGTGTGTAACTTAATATTTATTATAAACTGGATTGTGTGTGACAAAAAATATAACAACATTTATAAACGCAAGCATATTCATAGCCTAATAAGTCGCAATACTCAAAATGATTTTGGTTTGGTTTTCAATAGATAGCGATAGGTGTAATTGGCAATTACGCCTTTTACGGGCTGTGGTTCTATTGATAGTTTTACTTGGATGGGAAAACAGAAGAAAATAATTTCCAACAACAAAGACACAGCTGCCTTACGTTTGAGCAGAAAAGCGGGCGACTTTAGTTGGATTGTGACTGAGTCAGTTAACCATTGAGTCAAAATTGTGCCACTGTGCAATATCACATATACTGTAATATTTTGAAATTATATTAATCTTCAAAGTAACCAGTTAAGTTGCATCCCTCATGTTTTGTGCACAAATATATTTCTCACATAACAGCGTACCAGTGCAATATTATACTATTGTATTATATATTATATTTATTGTTACTTTATACTATGCAATATGTATTATTGATATGACTGAATATAACTCCAATGGCATCGTTTCTCTCAAAATGTCATCAGAAGTCTTGACGAAACTAGGTCAAGGCATGCTGAATTGTTGTCTTTATTTCAATTTCAAGATTGACAAGATGCTCTGGACAAGAAACTAACTTAACAGGAGATAGTCTTTTTACAACCACAAATCATCTAAAACATAAGAAATGTTAAACACTTTAGACTAACTATATAGCATCATTTGCGCAAAATATTCACCATGTGTGCGAACATATTAATTTGTACTTCACTATAATATATACCTGAATTATTTGCCTTGCGTCTGTTAGTTGTACTTTAGCCAGGGGAACAATTCTAGCCATGTAAATTGTATAAACAGTTTCTTCCTTCAGTATTCTTTCCATTTTACGAGGTTTTGTCAATGAAAATAAGATATAGCACGAATCTTCAAAACGGGCTCAATCAAAACACTAGGTCCGCAGATGCGTGAAAACCCGGTCAATGTTTACGGATAAAATTCACCGACTTTCTTTCACTCTGAGTCGGTGGATCGGTTCCTTTGTTGGGAAATAGATGCATGGGTATTCCTTCAGGCTGTTCAGAATTCGTGCAATAATCTAAGTTAGAACTGCCAGAAACACGGTCTTCGTCTCCGCGTTTGTTGGTTTTACTATAATTTTAATACGCCATGATGAAATCGTGTTCATCTTATGACGTCACATGGCATCAACATGGCCGATCAAAAGTTCGCACAGGAAGTGCCAAAAATGGCCGTTTGGAAGGCTATAAAATCGGTTTGAATTAACCAATTTCAATTCTGTTTGTGGTAAAAAGCTGAACAGTACTTTGATGTATAGACCGTCCCAGAACATGGAAAACTGTGTGCAGTAAATGTGGTTCTTTACATACAAACTGTTGACGTTTATGATGTAATTATAATTGTTGTAAGTCAGTGGTTATGTATGTATTCTTGTAATACCTATAAGTAAATATGTAATGTAAGTTTTTGGTGGGACTTAATTAGGGACTCACGTCCTGTTGTCCTTACCATTAGTCATTTGATTGTAAAGTTAATAAAAATTCATTATATCCTCGGTACTCCCATAGTTGTTGACGTGCTATCGATGTCGAATATTGTCGATCTGTTCCGGTTTTGGATATATCTCAGTTTGTTTTATGCCGAAGACAGTTGACTGTCTTCGGCATAACCATTCAACTTGGATGTTTATGCCGTTGAATGTCTTCGGCATAAACATTTGACTGTCTTCGGCATAAACATTCAACTTGGATAGTTATGCCGGTGAATGCTCACGCTTTCTCCAGTTACAGAATTTACAGAAAATTCAATCGTGTATAAAGATAAATTGTTGTTTTTTTAATTCGGTTCCTTTTGGGAGCATATATTTGTTGTATATTATTATCCCAGAAGTTTCTCAAAAACGGAGTAACGATATATGAAATTTATGAGGATCTTTCTTAATAAAAGTTAAACCAATTTTGCTGCTCTTTATTCATTTATGGTGAATGAAATTATGAATAATTTCAATTTGTATTTCTTTCCTGTAGCTCAGCCACCCTTCCAGTCACTATACGCTGTGTCACCGAGAACAATAAGGTCGATCGTAGAGTGGCTCAGTTTTGCTTACCAATCGGTGCCACTTGTAATATGGAGGGCAGTGCCTTGTACTTTGCCGTCGTCGTTATATTTATGGCAAACCTGGAGAATATGTCCCTCACATTTGGAGAGTTCATTTTGACTGCGTAAGGTCTTTTGTTCTTTCAACTTTTCTCGTTTCCAGGGGAATGGCAACAAAAATTAGTATTAAACTAGGGTACCTGCAAGGTAGGGATTGCTGCGGCCATTAATTAAGAGAAAATAGAACTAAATAGTTCAAATTATATAAAGCACAGTTATTACTCGCAGCGTGCCAGCGACTGGTGAGCACTGTGGCCGAAGCTTAAGGATACGGAATCGATTCATGCCATGAGTACATAACTGAGAGAAAAGCAATGCAGTTGTTGCCAACACCAGAGGTTAAAGGGCAATCACATGCAGGTGACAGATATATTAAACATGTGCGTCTCATTGAATACTTATTACTTGCGTGTTAATGTTAATATGAAAGTAATATTCACTAAAGCATATAAACTATAAAGCAAGAATATATATTTTCAAGACCAAGTGGAATGTGTTCAATTACGCGCTGCTTAAGTACTGTATGCGTATAAATTATCGTTAAACAAATTTAAAATCAATAAAAAACATCAAGCCATAGCCAATTTTACAATATACACGAGGCATCAGCGAGCAAAGACGCAAACTGAACACGAGGCTCAAAATGCCTCAAATACGCCGAAAACAATTTTAAACGGGCCAAAGTAAAATATGTTTCCATCTTAAAACCTTAAACTGATTAAAAATAGTTTA